CGAAAACTCGCAAATAGCACAACTTTTCATCTTCAATGCCTTTAGAAGGCACAGCACAAATTTGAAGTCGGTCGGACTAAATCCCTAGGAGGAGTTCGTTAAAGTACGAAGTGTGTAAATCATCCAAAATTTGACGTAAAATTCAAAATGGCCGACTTCCTGTTGGGTTTAGGCTATGGCTCCAAGAGACTTTTTTGTGCGTCTGGACAAGATACACGTACCACAGAAAATTCGTGCACGTAGGTGAAACGTGCGGCGGGGGCTGCTTCGTTAAAAGTCACTTCCTGTTGCCAGCAGGTGGCGCTATGACTGTGGGTGAATGTCAGCATGTACATGTGTTCAGGGCGGGACTCTCATCCTACATGTACAGTTTGGTGCAGATGTGAGCATGTACACTGAAGTTACGACAACTTCCGTGTCATGGCGAAGAGTTGATCTTTGACGCCACGCTACGGACACGCCCATTGACGAAAACTTGCAAATAGCACAACTTTTCATCTTCAATGCCTTTAGAAGGCACAGCAGAAATTTGAGGTCGGTCGGACTAAATCCCTAGGAGGAGTTCGTTAAAGTACGAAGTGTGTAAATCATCCAAAATTTGACGTAAAATTCAAAATGGCCGACTTCCTGTTGGGTTTAGGCTATGGCTCCAAGAGACTTTTTTGTGCGTCTGGACAAGATACACGTACCACAGAAAATTCGTGCACGTAGGTGAAACGTGCGGCGGGGGCTGCTTCGTTAAAAGTCACTTTCTATTGCCAGCAGGTGGCGCTATGACTGTGGGTCAATATCAGCATGTACATGTGTTCAGGGCGGGACTCTCATCCTACATGTACAGTTTGGTCCAGATGTGAGCATGTACACTGAAGCTACGACAACTTCCGTGTCATGGCGAAGAGTTGATCTTTGACGCCACGCCACGGACACGCCCATTGACGAAAACTTGCAAATAGCACAACTTTTCATCTTCAATGCCTTTAGAAGGCACAGCACAAATTTGAGGTCGGTCGGACTAAATCCCTAGGAGGAGTTCGTTAAAGTACGAAGTGTGTAAATCATCCAAAATTTGACGTAAAATTCAAAATGGCCGACTTCCTGTTGGATTTAGGCATCGCTCCAAGAGACTTTTTTGTGCGTCTGGACAAGATACACGTACCACAGAAAATTCGTGCACGTAGGTGAAACATGCGGCGGGGGCTGCTTCGTTAAAGGTCACTTTCTATTGCCAGCAGGTGGCGCTATGACTGTGGGTGAATGTCGGCATGTACATGTGTTCAGGGCGGGACTCTCATCCTAGATGTACAGTTTGGTCCAGATGTGAGCATGTACACTGAAGTTACAACAACTTCCTGTTTCATGGCGAATCATCGACGCCACGGACACGCCCATTGACGAAAACGCGCAAATAGCACAACTTTTCATCGTCAATGCCTTTAGAAGGCACAGCAGAAATTTGACGTTGATCCGACTAAATCCCTAGGAGGAGTTCGTTAAAGTACGAAGTGTGTAAATCATCCAAAAATGGCCATAAAATTCAAAATGGCCGACTTCCTGTTGACTTTAGGCTATGGGTTCTTGAGGCTTTTTTGTGCGTCTTGACATGATACATGTCCCCAGAAAATTTCGTAGATGTAGGTTGAACGTGAACGAGGGGCTAATTTTTTCCAATTTTCTAGGTGGCGCTAGCGAGTCATTTTGCAACGCCCATGTGCGAAACTTGTAGAATACGAAATTTTTCACCGGTTCTGACATGTTTGCAAATTTTGGTGAGTTTTCGAGAATGTTTAGGCCATGTCATTTGAGCCTACTTTGCAGAAAAAAAAAAAAAAAAAAAAAAAAAATATAATCCGAGCAAATTCAATAGGGACCTCACACGGTCGTGCTCGGGCCCTAAAAAAATAATCCGAGCAATTTCAATAGGGACCTCGCACGGTCGTGCTCGGGCCCTAATTAATGTTAGCACTTACATTCACCACATGCAAATCTGGCAGCTATCTGGCTGTCGGGGAACATGGCTGAAAAAGCGGGCTTGTGTCTTCACATGACTTGTAGGAATATTGAAAATTTGCAACCTTTAACTCCCACAGTACCTCTGAAGTTAGGGTTTTGTTCCTGGACACAGCACATGAAATGGTCCCTTGTTTGACAGTGGACGAGAAGGAAACACTGTAGCTGGCAGCGGGTCACCGGGGTGAAAAGGCCGTGATGCGGTTTAGAATTGATTCAATAGCAGAAGCAGCAGGACACCTTTAGCATGGCTAGCTAGCACTGCCTTGCCAATGCTTGAAATGTTGAATGTTTTAACTACACAGTCCACATTTTGCACGTCCTGTTCCTTCTCAAGCCATGCCTTGTACTTGTCCAAGTGAAGCTAGACATTATTAAATTGGCATTTTCCTGGCATTGTGCAAATTTACATCTCGTCAAAGTAAGTTAACTTTACAAAGTGTAACTCAAGTCTGACATTACCCCACGCAGAGAACAACATAAAGAAACGTGTTGTGACTGATCTGCCCAAACATGAAAGTATTGTTGAACCAATATAGATTTTTCTTAACTAAACCACATATCATACAGGTATCTGAAGAAAATGTCCACCTTCTGTTTGTTTTATTTTTCCAAACATTATCCAGGCCTGGAAATTGCTATTTTCAAGGCTTTTCATGGCTTTTCCATGTTTTCATGACCGTGCAATTTAGCATGGTTTAAATACCACAGCCCACCTGAGTATTGTTGTTGACCATGTGGCCACGGTCTACCTATCTTCTAATGGCTACTTTGAGAAAAATATTTGGTCACAAAGCACACTGCTGGTTCCACCAACATGACAGTGAGTTCAGCGTACTTCAATGGACTCCATAGTCACCAGACCTCAATCTCACAGAGCACATTTGGGATGTGGCGGAACAGGAGATCTGCAACATGTCTATGGGAGTGTTATTTGGTATCAGTTAACAGCAACGCCTAGTGGCCGATTAACACCAAAATATCATACAGGTCCTCAGGGCTCCGGTGGGAAGTAACGTACTAAGTTTGGTTTCAATGAGCCATATGAATCAGAGCTCTGTTAAACCACCATGTAATGTTTTATTGCTAGCACAATCACTGTCCTTGGGAAGTAGAGGTGATGATGATTACTAGTTAATGTATGAAAATGACCGTTTCCCCCATAATTTCTTTCGCTGATCGCAACCACCACTTCTTACTGTAGGTGATGATCCTGTTATTTTCATTACATAGTTTGAAAAACAACAACCTGCACACAAAAGACATAAAAATAGAGGTGAAACGAGCTGCAAACTGCATTCAGAAGCTCTTAGTTCCACTATACATACTGTGCTTCCCCTAGAGAATTTACCAATGTAGGAAAATTGGAGCAATCTGAACCTGTTACGCCTGCAACTGGGACATCTCTGCTTAATAACATAATGATTGATGAAAAATTAGACAAGAAGCTCATAATTACATAATTGGTAACACACTGGCACTGATCCCCTAGGCCACTGTGGATTAACATTTTCAGCTATGATACTGAAGCTATACCAAGCACAAAATACACAACTCTAAAAAACATTCAATTTCTGAGCTAATCAATTAAATTCCCTCCTTTCCTGTAGTTTTTTGATGTTCTGTCCAGATGAACAGTGTTGTTCTTGTGCGGCTAAGGATTCAGTAGCGTCCTGTTGGCTCCACTGGCTATGGTCTGTATGTTTAAAATAATATTTAAGTGACACAGGCTAAAGGCCCGTTTAGTCTAGCAATTTCAGTATTGTGCAAGAGGAAATGGCATGTATGTTGAATACTGCAATGCATGGGATGTCCTGGGATGTAGTGTCAACAAAGTAAGGAAAATAAACAAAGTTAACAACTGAATGAAAAATATGAAAAGGTGATGACTACCATGAAAACCACTGCCACGTTCCAAATACCAGTGATCAACACGCACCAAAAGCAAACTTTATGTAATCGTATCAATAAATTGTCTAAAGTTTTTACAATACAATTTTTAAGATGCAACACTGGATTGTGTCTTTAGGTCTTTAAAATAAAACAAACAAAGACAGATAAAACAAAGAAGGAGGATACACTAACAGAGGATTGAGATACACTGAGTGCTGCTATGGTCCCATGCCGGGTTTTTACGGTTGTACAAGATTGCCATCTGGTGGTAAAAAATCAGTGTTAATGAAGGCAATCTGAACGATATCTGTTGTTTTAATGCTATTGCAAATGTGCATTTGTGTGTTTGTGCCAGCATCTTTGACAGAGTCTTGGAAAAGAGTTTGTCAAATAGAATAGAAAAAGAACAATGCACAGATAAAACAGAAATGTTTAAACAAGTATTTGGGGCTTTGGGGGGGGGTGTTAAGATGGAACTATTTCTTGGAAAACAACAGCCAGGTACAGTGCAGACTGTGCACTGTTACAAAATCTTGTAATGACACCCCCCCCCCCACCAAAAAAAGAGTTGTGCTTATTGTATTCCCCTGATATAGTCTTTGTGCTAAGCTAAATATCCTGTTTCCAGCACCACTTTCTTAAAATGTTGCACTATTCCTTTAATACATAAATATAAAATTTATTTCTACAAGTTGTTCCAGCCCAAGCCTCATCTAAAACTTCTTCTGTGGTGATATTCTAAAATAATGCTGCCATTAGGAGGGGAGTTTACATGATCCTTAATGCATATAAATGACTGGCTTTCTGGTTGGAGCGCAATTTTACTCTGGTTATTCATCAGAGCTCTCATTATACAACATACTTATGTAAATATTACATTGGTACAAAGGTATTCTATCCTCAATATGTTCTTGGTAAAATTACCATAATGTTGCATCAACCTTCATTAGAAAACCTGTCAGGGCTAAGATTAACCATGATACATTTTTTACAAGTGTTCTTTATCCACTCTTTAACCTGGTATGTATATTCCTTCAGCACTGTGCATTGTGTCTTGGGAAACCTGTGTTTTTGTGTGTCATGTGTTCCTATCCTCTTACCCAGATCCAGCCTCTGGGACAGTGAGCCCAGCCCCTGAAGTACAGCCAGCTGCAGTTTGTAGACCAGGGTGTGTGTGTAGACAGGTCCGGCCTTGGCGCTGGTCGGAGCTTGCCGTGCCAGTGAGGAGCTCAGCTTGGGCAGAACCTCTTTAGAAACCCTCCTCCTCAGAAAGTCACCACATGTTTCACCCAGTGTACACAGCATCTGGCAAAGAGACTCAGCATGTAATGTATGTACTGTATGCAGCAAGAAGTCAAAATGTAATAGAATGTCCCTGTAGTGTGTCCTTCATTAAAAAATCTGAGATGAACCATATTATTTACAAAACCTGGACATACCCAGAGCCTGCCATATTGCTGATAGAGATAGAATAGTTTGCCGGCAATATTACTGAGCAAATAAATTACCATTTACATACCAGTTGTGTCTATTTTTGTCGATTCTTCAGTGAAAAATGAAAAGTAACATAAATAAAAATAGTTCAACTAATGACAGGTTTTCACAAGTAGACAAAATTACACTGCAGTGACATGTAGAATCAATTGACATACCCTGAAGGCTCTGAGGACTGCTAAAGGGTCATCAGCTGTGAGTCTCTGTAGGAGGGCAGGCCAGCAGCGATGGGCCATAGGCAGCATCTCATTTTCCTTCTCACTGAGTACACGCACACATAGCTCCAGCACATCCAATACCTTAAGATAAAAACATGCAGTACACCCATTAATATATATATATTTTTTTGTGAGTGTAAGAACACCACGTACATGTGTAAAGGTAGCTTTTGAGTGATGTTACACAAGCTTTGAAGGCCATATTGGAGATCCAAAGATCCTGGGTAACAATGTTAGGAAATACTTGCTTTTTTAGAAACCTGTTTCAGAATTGTGAAGAGGGGGTACTTTCCATTTAGTTTCTTACTATGGAGTGATTTATTACTGATACATCTAAGTTAGCCTAAGTTAGTCATCTAAGTTTGGTGTGGGAGACCCGGGTTAAATTCCCACTGAGATAAATCCACCAGTGTGTCCCCGTGCAAGACACTTAATCCATAGCTGCTCCAGTGGCATACCACCTCTGGCATTTCTAGCAATTGTAAGTCACTTTGGATAAAAGAATCAGCTAAATGACTAATTATTATTGTAATTAATTATCTGTTTATTCGCCTCGCTGGTGAAGTGGGGCTAGAGATGACTATTTGGATGGATTGTTATGAAGTTTGGTTCAGATATTAATGGCGCCGACACAATGAACTCAACGTCTTTGGTGAATCCACGGCTTTTTCGACTAGCACCCACGTTATACTAGTATTAACTCTTAATGAGGTTACTGTGGTTTCTGGCAACAATTTTCTTATTTGACGACATTTGCATACTAAGAATAGAGCTATGTTTCCTCTTGTTGTCAGCAGGTCATTGATTGTTATCATGGTAACAGAGCCTACAGCTCAGAGTTAGCATGGGGTGGCTAACTAAAATTAGTATTTTTTGTAAAACTCATCTTAGACTAGTTTGACTGCAAAGCTATCACTGGCCTAAAACTATAGACCTGGCTTGTCTTTGTACTCTACTTGGCACTCTTTGGAACATGCTTCTTGCCAAGTCTGCAATTTTGGAGAAGGATGACATGGAGCTGTGCTAGCTAACTAGTGTGTGTTGTGGGTGAATATATGCAGTCAATTCTCTATTGGATAGTCATGATGGTATCCTGTGTGGCTGGGATATTTGTCACACCAATACAAAGCCACAGTGTAGAGACAAAACTAAATTCTTTCTCATCAACAATCCCTACTAGGTTTTGTATCATAAAAACCAATGCTCCCCTTCACAGTACATCACACCACAGGCAATACCTTGAGTCGGACCCGGAGACTAGGGTTGGACAGCAGATGAATGCAGCGCTCCATAACTTCTTTGGTGATGCGGAGGTGGGAGGGAAGCTCTGCTTTTACATCAGGACCACCAATATCTTTAACATCCTCACACTCGATGGGAGGAGGGACTTCTAGAGAGACAGTGATGGTCAGACAGATGATGTATGATTGACAGTCTTGGCAAGCACCCAATATTGACTCTGGTTCTTATATTTCACACTTTATTGTTATTGATACTGTATTTTCTTTAATATCATATCCCAGTTTCCCCACTGATAATTGTAATCTAATATAACCACTACAACAAACGTGAAACCTATGCTAAAATGAAATATAATTTCCTGGTAGTCCTCATAAAGACACAATGCGGTTTTACCGAGGCCCTTAGTGTCGTCCTCCTCTATTCCAATGCCCTCTGCCAGCTCTTTCTGTTTGCGGTAGTCCAGCAAGAATTGGCGGATGTTGAGGACTTCCTTGTGAGTGGAGGTCTGCTTAGGTCTGGCAGACTCACCGACCCTACCACAACTGGAGGGAAACCACCTCGCTATAGGAAAAATAACAAAAAGAACAGGTTAGGATAGATATTCTTTGTTTTGTCTCCATCCTTGATGTTATTTGTTAGTTAGTTCACAGAGATCACTTGTCAATCAAATACTGGTACACCTTTTTGCCATTTTCTATTGATATTATTACTTTGAATTATCTAGCACACGTACCTAAAAGCTCCACAGAGCTGCAGAATCTGATCATCTGATTCAAAATATTTAGTGGTCATGTAATTTAAATTTTTCTATCTCTGGTAAAATGCAAGACTAAACTCTTTTCTCTACAGTAATTAGAATTTGACTAGTTAAGGATTGTGCAGGGGCCAGTCATTTTTAAAATTTTGTATGAATATTCATGGCCTTTTAATGCCAAAAATGAATAACTGGTTTGTATTTCCACTAAATAAATAGTGAATATTATATTTCTATTCTTTAAAACATCGTGTGATACTAAACCCCCCTACTAAAATCAACAATCCATCATTAAATGTTTTGAATATAAGTGAACTAAATGCTAAGACAAAGTGTAGTAGATAAGCAATATATTAATTTTGTCCCTTATCCTTTTTCACCCTGACCGTATAAAAGGAGTTGAAATTAGTTCTGAATCTCACCCAGCGCTGCCATGAGTGTGTGCAGCACAGAACAGAAAAGAGCAGCTGTGTTGTCATAGCTGAGATCCAGAGCCATCAGCACATCCTGAACAATGTCCTCAACCAGAGGTAGCAGGCTGCAGTCAGAGTGAGTTAACATCACTGTCAACACACGTGGAGCCTAGCCAACAAGAGGGGAATATGATGAAAAACATGTTGAGGGTGCAGCAAAGCCATGTAAACCCATTTACAGTATTCACCTGGGTCATGAACACAGTGGTGTGCACTCTGGCCCGATGACTTGGACTACAGTCAAACTCGAGTCTGATTACTTTAGACTTGACTTTAATGCTTCTAAATTGTGACTTCACTTGGACTGTAGCCTTTTGACTTGAATGACTTGATATCCTCTCTAAGACCAAAGATATGGTATAAAAACATATGCAGTTAATTAAATCTTAATTTTCCTGACAGATAAACTATAACCCCCAAACCGGTAAATTAAAACAAATATCACAAAAAAAAGTTCCACCAAGAATTTCTTTTCATTTCACTATCTGAGCCATCATCCTGTTTCTTAGACCCTATCCTAACTAAGCTGCATAAAGAAGCCTAGTTGACTGTTAGTTAGCTCTTCTTTACGAGAAACTATAAATCTGTCTTTATTAACAGGCTATGTACCACAGTCCTTTATTGTACATGTAATTAAACCTCTTCTTAAAAAGCCCACTTTTTAAAACTCCGGGTGGCGTTTTAGTGCAAACGGCAAAAAACGGAGGACTTTAGAAACAATGACGCAGACGCTCAGGTTTGGCTCTCTGATTGGATCTTATATGGCATACAAAGCAGAAACAGGATGCTACTGTTAATACTACATACTAACTTGTCAATAATCATTTTGTTGAACATTTGAAAGTTTGCTATAGCACGTCAAACTTTTTTTAATGTCCCACCCCATCCGGGCTGTGATTGGTCAGTTGACGAAAAGTAACTGAGAAGCACATCAGCTTTATGAAAAGTTGAAAATGTAAAATATTTGAACTGTCTAACTGCCTACGACGCCCCTCTGTTTCTGACAAGAGAGACTGGCCCACCGGCATTTCTCTTGGTGCTCCGGTGGCGAGCCCCACTATGTTTTAAACATACGCTTATGTTAACAAACGCTATGTTTTAGACAAAGTTGCTTCGATCTTCTTGAGATTTGGTGGGTTTATTGCTCTCATGATAAAGAACACATGTCTGTTTTTTTTATGAGATTTTGCTCAACAGGAAGTTAGCCATTTTGCACTTCCTGTGTCATTTTTAATTTTTTAAACAGATGTTCAGGGCATTACATTAATCGTGCAGCACTACTTATTACCCAACCAGAGCACTGTGCTCCCAGAATGCAGGGTTACTTGTGGTCTCCAAAAGTAGACTAGGAGCCAGAGCGTTCAGCTATCAAGCTCCTCTCCTGTGGAACCAGGTTCCAGTTTGGGTTCAGGAGGCAGACACCATCTCCACATTTAAGAGTAGGCTTAAGACTTTCCTCTTTGATAAAGCTTATAGTTAGGGCTGGCTCAGGTAGTCCTGAACCATCCCTTAGTTATGCTGCTATAGGCCTAGACTGCCGGGGGACTTCCCATGATGCACTGAGCTCCTCTCTCCTCTTCTCCCTCACCATCTGTATGCATTCTTATCCCAATAATGCATTTTTTTGCTCCCTCGTCTCTCTTTTTGTCACTTTAAGCAGGTATTTCTGCAAGAACCCCACAAATGTGGGTTTAATTTCACTGTATAAACTGCTACTGCTATTAGGTTCATTGTGTTTATTGTTAGCTCCTATTATGCCACTTATTTTTTTTGTTTGTACTGCTGAAATGGTTAGTCAATATTCGATCAATCAAGAATTCTGAAAAAATCACTGGCAAACATAAAGATCTGTGGCTTTTTCTGTTTTGACAAAACAAGCAAATGGGCTTGGGCTCTGATAACTTATGATGGCGATTCACTATTTTCTAAAGTAAATGATTAACCAATTATACAATAAAATTAAAATTAAACTTTAACATAACTATAGATAAATTGATGATGAAACTTATTTTTAGTTGCCACTCTTTTCATCTGTGAAACCATATTTAAATGTAAATGTAAATGCTCCGTACTTGTATAGCACCTTTCTAGTCTTTTCGACCACTCAAAGCGCTTTTACACTACATCTGCATTCACCAGTCATACACATTCATACACTGAGCCTAAGTGCTCAAACGGAAATTAACATTCACACTCATTCATACACGGGCGGAATAGCCGCCAGGGGCAATTCGGGGTTCAGTATCTTGCCCACTTCGACACGCAACCAGGGGAGCCAGGGATTGAACCGCAGACCTTCCGATTAACGGCCAACCCGCTCTACCTCTTGAGCCACAGCCGCCCACAAATTTTTTTTTTAAACATATTTCTACTGTAAAATGGTTATAAAATTTTTTAAATGTTGTCTTTGTTTCCTTAGTTCTTATTCTTCTCTGTTTCTAGTGCTACGGTACATTACTGTGCATTCTAACATGTTGAACCGCATCAGTTTTACCTGTGGATGCTGGCTGAGCCTCTGCAGGTTAAGTGATATGTCATTGAGCAGGTAGTCCGAGTTCTCATTGATCAGCTCCTTTAAAGAGTGGTAGCCACAGGCCTTGCTGACGTCCCACATGGTGCCCAGCGCTGCCTGGCTGACGAGCAATGTCTCCTCCCCAGCTTTCTCCAGTACAGGGTACAGTGATGTCATCAACAAGGGACGGAAGTCACGTCCCAAGGCCTGAGCAAAGCAGGCGATGCCCTCAAGTTGGATACACAGTTGCCAGATGTTGCTGTTGAGATGGTGGATTGTAGAGGTGGACGATGAGGGAGACGGGGAGGCAAATGTGGAAGGAATCACTTGGAGTGAGTTTGCATTAGTGTTGCTGGCATTGCTGTTGGATATGGAGACGAGTCTGGATGGGCTGAGCAGCTACAGAGAGACAAATGACAAATCCCATTATCATATATCATCCAGTTTTACAGTTGTCTTCTACAATTCAGTGTGTTTTATTTAATAGACATAAAAAGGTCATTATAAAGATGACATGTTTACATTTAAAAGCATGAGCAGACAGGTGTGTTTAAACCTGAATTCACAAGGTAATACTATTCTGAGCACAAAAACAACAAAGTTAAAGAGAAGAGGAGAAGGAACCAGAAATCACATAGACTGTGGTTGCAAATTCATACAAAAATCATCTCTGCAAATGTTTTAAGAGGAATGGAAATTCTTATGCTGAAAATGTTAATTAGGTTTGAAAGATACACATGATGTGTTTTGATGAGAAACAGCGAATGTAAAAACTCCAGAGTACCTTAAATTTGACCTTAAATCAGGTGGCCCAAACAAAGAAATATCACCACATTCCAACATTAACCATACGTCCATTATGAAAACATTTTAGACCACCTGATGGTCAAGCCCATCAGCTATAATAGCTGTTACCCTGCTGTATCAGTACAAACTTAAAACCAGTGGCTCTGTCTTAGGCCCCATCCACATTACTACCTCTTTGTTTTAAAACGGAGACCTTTTGCTCTGTTTCCACCTCCCGTCCAGACTAAAACTGCGAAAATGAAGATCTAAAACGGAGAAGTTTGGAAATGCTGCCGACCCCATTTTTTGTTTTAGAACTCAAAAATGGGGGACTTTAAAAATGATGAGCAGACGCTCACATTTGGCTCTCTGATTGGGTCTTATAAATCATGCAAAGCAGACACACATTGCTACTGAGGCTATTTTTATTAAAATATTTTGTACCGTACAAATAACTTACAGCCTACACTTGTAAGTTACTGAGATCGTATTCATTTTAAAACTCTGTTTTTAAACAAAAACGGAGTAGTGTGGAAGGGGCCTTTAACTTTTTCCATAAAATGATCATCAACACTGATGTCAGCATTTACAGCCAACTGCCTGTAGTTTCCATCATGTTCAAATGTATTCCATATTCCATTTATGAATGGAACTAATTTGACTTGAGTGAGCTCTACAGTGTAGTATATTTCTGTGCTTAGAATCAATTTAATTTGGTTGTGTGCCGCCTCCATGGGCAAACATTTAAGCTGACAAAGAGAAACTGCAAGTTTATCTACAAACTAAATCAGTGTTGGCAATGTTTCCCGGCCTCTGTTGGTTGGAGGACCTGAGATATTTTCTCTGCCTGTCAGCTCAATAATCCAGCCTTGAAAGATTAGAGCAGTTACTTGTAACCCTGAAGCAGTTTCTCCCTTTGCTCAGTGTGTTGAGGCAAAGGAGCACACATCGATAATTCCATTCATACTGTGAACAAAGTATGGATCTCTCTCAATAAAGCCTGATGTGCTTTGGAGTGAAGTGACCATGATCAAATTAAACACAGAAGGAATTGTGCACTATGGGCTGATTGTGGGAGACTAATATCACACTTGGTTAGAAACTATTTACAGAGTACAAAATGAGAAGCTAAATCGTGAAATCAAATAACAAATTATCACGTCTTCATTCAGAATATCATTCCATGAAGAGTGACATCATGTATTAAAAGTGATGATCAGCAAACTATCTGGGAGTGATCACCGAATTGAGCTGGTGATGAGGTAATATTCACAGCACGTAAGACAATCCATTATCACATTAAAACGTAAGAAAGCAGCAGGGCTGAACTATTCTCACCTGCTGGTCCTCCCGGTCTCTATCCATCTCCTCACCAACAGTAATCAAGTGCCAGTTCTTCAGACTGGTGTATTCCTCCATGATAGACACCACTGCCATCTTGAGGTCCTCCTGGGTGGCAGAGTGTCTCCAGACTTGACTCTCCAAACCATGAGTCTCTGTTGCCACGGCTATGCCCGCAGAACCCCTGACAATCTCATTTAGCACCATGGCAGCCTGCTTTCTGTATGCAGAAGACATTTGGTACAGATCCAGAAAGTGATCTGTCAGCAAGTACATGTTGCCATAGTAACCTAAAGATAGAAAGAGGGAATGTTCTTTTATACTTTTGGGAGGAGAGCGGTCAAAAAAAAGGCAAATGTAAACATATTGTAGCAAAATATAGCTAGCTTTATTACATTATGTAATAGTATCGAATGAAAGTTCAACTTTTAAAAGAATCAACGTAGACATAGAGGACCGTTATGTATGAAGAGTGAAAGAAAGAAAGAAATGTACTGTACTTTGACGCAGTCTTTCCATTAGGTCTGTATCAAACAGCCCTTATACCTACCTAATGTTCGACAGATCTCCATGAGCACAGAGAAGATCTTCTCATCTGTGAAGTAGAGAAAATGCTTCCTCTGAATGTGGGCAGTGTACGAATCATGAGAGCCTGAGCTTGTCTCTATGGAAGCAGCGTAACTCCTTTCCTCTACAATGCGAACATCCATCACATCCAGCTCCAGCACCTGTTGAGACATACAAAGGTGTTTTTGTTTTTTCCCTCCCAACCATTTATTTTGACTTTTTGGTTGTGTCACAAGCAAGAAACAATTACCGCTTAAAATACCACTTAACTCAGCTTGTCAACCATACAAAATACTATATGTTGTTGTAATCTAATAATTAGATGATTTGTTAATTATCATTTAAACAGTGCTGTAGTTTTTTAGTAATACTGAAGTATGTTTGGTTCAGGTGCTACATTTTGAGTGTCTCCAATACTAAAATAAACAGTACATATAAAAATGTATTGCAAGTAACCTAAACTAACATACAAGAAAAGTTGCTGTTTCACAACTGGCAGTAACAAGGCAATAAATTCGATCTTGATGTGGGATTGTTTTCTACCTACTCTCCCCATTTGTTTATTATTCTGTTGTGGTTCATGTATGAAAGATTTGGTACGTTATAAGGATAAACTGGCTAGAATATCTGGTTTTCTACCCCAGTATCTTCACAAGACTGCCTGCCTGCACCTCAGCTAAAAGTTTAGAGGAGCTACTATATATAACTGCCCATTGCAAAATAGCCCATTTCTTCACTAAAAATACCCCAAAACCAACTGAAAAAATAGACTCTATAGAAAAAAGGGACACAGTGTCCAGTAGAGAGAGTCAGGCTATTCAGATGTTATATCTACAGCCGCATTTATTTAGATTTGACACAGTTTATTTACACTGCCTTGTAGATTTTATCCTGTAAATCCCGCATTTCCTTATTTTGTTGAAACAGAATCACTGGGCTCTATTTTGGTGTCTGCTAGTGTGCACTGTGGTTACTTCCTTGCCTGCGCAGGTTTGGTATCTTGGTGAATCACTGAGTTAGAGGTTTGTGATGATGCCAATCCAGCCGTGCACTGGTCAACAGCTCCTGTGTGTTCCACAGTATTTTTCACACCCATTAACCTCTATGAAGTTATATAAAACACTTTATTAATTAATTGTTCGTCATTCCACTTTTATTGTTTGTTTTTCAAACAGCTGACATGGTCACACTGTAAAAGAGTTTTATATCATTAATGCCTGTGAGTAAAGAATAAAGATTAATAAGTGATTGGCAGCTCTTTCATCTAAGAAAGTTAGTTAGTAGTCTATATTGTAGGCTTTTCCTTTACACTAGTGACTCTCTACAGCTTTCTCAAGGCAGCAGGTGTCTCAATCTCAAGCCACAACTGCACACGGCAGTTCCCCTGTTTAAATTTTGTACAACCAGCATCAGACTGCTGTAAAATGACCACAGATGCTTTTGTGTACATCAAACTTGTTGTTTTGAGTGATCATATACAGTTTCTACTGAAAATTAACAGATGAGTTGGAGACGGACAAGGAAGGGCTAAACTGCACGTGATTTCATATAAGGATGGCTTTACTCTGGCTTTACTCTGAAATTTAGAAACTGTGTATACACTGTGGAGTCCTTCTGCTTCCTGTGCACTATCATCACCCAGGACCTCAAGTGGAAGCTGAGTATCAGCTCCTAGAAACTAACAAAGCCCAGCAGAGGATGTACTTCCTGTGGCAGCTGAAGAAATTCAATCTGCCAAAGACAATAATGATGCACTACACTGCCTCACTGAGTTCATCCTCATAACCATCTGGTATGCTGCTGCCACTGCCAAGGACAAGGGCAGGCTGCAGCGTATCATTCACTCCATCCTGCACGCTTCCAGGACTCTGAGGAAGGCAGGAAAGATTGTAGTTGAACCCTTCCAAACCAGAGACAAACTGTTTCAGACAGTCCCCTCTAGCAGGAGGCTGCGGTCGCTCAGGACAGTTTCTTTCCATCTGCAGCCGCCCCATAACCCCTCCTTTACAGTACAGTATACTCATACTGTAAATTTTAGCACATGTAAATCCCACTGCAATTTAAATAACTGCCATGTTACATATTCTTTATTCTTTTACATTTTTTATATCTTATTGTCAATTTTATATTTTATCTTTATGATTCTTGACCTGCAGTGCTTTATCTTTGTTATATTGTCTACCTGTTTATTGTTATGCACCAAAATACCAAAGCAAATTCCTTGCATGTGCATGTAAACGTACCTGGCAATAAAGTTGATTCTGATTCTATATTGTAAGTACAATGAAAAACCAATCCCAACAAAAGAAAATATCCTTTAAAGGCAAGTCCACATAATCCAAATGCTGTTCTCCAAAAATAAAGGGACCAGTGTAAAGACTACAATGTCTGTAACGTGTCTAGTTAATAGTCTGAATGACTACTGCCCGGTGGCACTCCCCCATTCTGATGAAGCGCTGTGAGAAATTGGATCTCCAGCACAAAAAGAACACCCCAGTCATCCTGGATCCTGAGCTGAAAAATTTAAAATTTAAAAATTTTACAACAAATTTAACTTTAATTTCCTTTTGGTGAAGCTGAAGCATGTTGGTTGGTGGAAAAGACCCCACCCCTTTATAACCGATCTGCAGGAACGGGCATTTCTCTTGAGTAGTGACGTCACTGGCTGGAGGGGGAACCACACACACAAGATGGGATGACCCGGGTACTAATCTGGATTCCCCCGTTTGAAAAGAGAGTAAACCAAATGCATTCCACCTGTGTTTAAACATGTATTTAGGCTACACAAACAGTCCACTCACTTAACGAGCCTGCCGATGAGTTAAAGAAATCTAACTTGTTGCAGGCTATATGATATAAACTTTTACATGCAGCGCATCACATCCACACGCTGGCGCACAGCGTTTGGCATGATAAGCCAACGAACATGTGATAACAACAGGCTACATGAAACTATGCACTCGTATTTGCTCGACTGACACATTGATTGAATTTAAATGTAATTTCTCCTCCTGTTCACCTTATTTATTAGAATAAATTGCACTGCATACAAGTAGCCTATTAATTAATATGATTCCTGATTACACTGTACAACATATTTGAGGCGTTCTTTTGCAGAAACGGATATCTCCGTTTGTGTTTATGATTCTAAATCTGGTTCATTTTGTGTGCGCTGTAAATGATCTTAAATGATGGGGTTTTTTGCACACAATCTCATTTTTGAAGTGATGAGAAGTTCTTAAAAGTGAGGTGGAACTACCACTTATTCAGTGCCCGAGTCATTTACTGTGGAACACGGACACACAGCTGAGCTATGGGGTGGTGATGGAACAGTGGATAAGACACATGCCTTTGGTGTGAGAGACCCGGGTTCAATCCCCCTACTGTGACCCATCCACCATTGTGTCCCTGAGCAAGACACTTAACCCCTAGTTGCTCCAGAGGCGTGTGACCTCTGACATGTATAGCAATTGTAAGTCGCTTTGGACAAAAGCGTCAGCTAAATGAATAAATGTAATGAAAGAACAAGGCAAATATTTTCATAAGTGCCATGAGAACACATCAAATCAACGCATTATTATGGACTACGCCAGTTAATTTAGGCATTCAAATGGGATGGGCATTGGAAAATAGCGGTAGCTATAACTGCTGTGATGGAAAATTGTTGTACAAGTCTCTATGTAACATCTGTCCCTATAAAGTAAACACACTGTCTGCGATTTTCTTTTACCTCCTCCGCTCAGTGTTAAACACCGGAGCCCCCCAGGGCTGTGTACTACATCACCTGACTGCATTCCCCGACATACAGAGAACTCTGTTGTAAAGTTTGTGGAGAGGACCACCATCATCACCACAAAAATGAGACTTCATATCAGGAGGAAATCGACAATCTTGAAGAGTAGTGCACAGATAACAACTTACTACTCAACGTCAGCAAAACTAAGGATCTGATGGATTTGATTTTAGGAAAAAGGAGGAAAAGACACACACTCCTGTCCACATCAGTGGAGCTGAGGTGGAGCAGATTATCAGTTTCAGGTTCCCGGGAATAAGCATCAGAGAGAATCTTATATGGTTGTCTCACATCTCCACGCTGGTGAAGAAAGCTCAGAAACGACTGGATTTCTTGAGGAAACTTAAGAAGGCCAAATTCCCACGCCAAGTTATTATTAACTTTTACAGAGGAGCAATAGAAAGCATCCTGACTGGAAACATCACTAACATGGGATGTGCACGGCCCAGGACCGGAGGGCTCTGCAGCGGGTGATTAAAACTGCAGAAGATCATTGGTACCCATCTCCTGACCATCAGTGATATCAGTGAGGTGAGGTGCCTACGCAGAGCCCAAAGGATACTAAAGGACAGTACCCACCCAGCCACAGCCTGTTCACTCTGCTACTTTCTGGCAAGCTGTGAGTAGCATAAAGAAACAACTTCATGTCAGTATACAACCCTGTGTTGTAAAATGACAAATAAATCTAGTTCCTACCTTATATATTACAAAGAGCCTGAAATGAGTAGGCTATGTAAGTGAATTACTAAGATACAGCTTTAAATTGTATTCACACATCTGCTGCCTTCATCAAAAATTATTGGCATACCCGATAAAACTTCACCTGCATTTGAATTTGTTAAATAAGTCACTTAATGAAGTGCCTTATTTTCAGATAACAGATATAAAAAACATTAAATGTAAAATCACTAGATCTTTAAGAATATGAAGTATAAGCTGATAAAACGGCAGCTATCATTACCTGCATTAAGGCTTTTGAAATCCTCTCAAGATGTGCAGCTGAGTTTAGCACGACAGAGACAAGCGGTCCCAGGACTTTTAAATAACCCAGAAACACATTAAGGACAAAGAGCTTCTTCTGGTCATCAGTAGTCCTCATCAGTCTGGGCAGGGAGGTAGCCAAAACGTGGAGATTCTCTGAAAGCACATCAGTAAAGGTCTGAGCACTGCTGCTGCTTTTACTGGTATCACAGCTGCGGCTACAGCTCTGATTCCTCTGTGATACCGCTCTGAGAGCGACCTCACACCTATAGGAGAGAACAGAAGAGAGGTTTCATTAGGCATCTTGTTATCAGGAAGTCTGGGATTGAATCTTTTCCCTCACAAAAATGTAAATTAAATCAAACCTCTTTCTGACTCTGGGCTCCTCATCATTGATTGCTCCCACCAGTGCTTCCAGAAGCAGCCCCACACACTCTCCCAGTGACTGGCTACATCTGGCCAGCAGATGGTCATCCAGCTCCACCATCTCTAGTCTAACCGTCCAGTGCTGGTGAGCTGAGGTGCAGGAGACGATCTTTCTTAGGAGCACAAATAGTTTCCCTGCTGTGCTCTTCACCCAGGATTCTGTCCGATGGACCAAAAGTTGTCCTATTCTCCCCAGGTCTGGTGAGGGAGTCTTACAGGGCTCACTGGCTTGAAGCTGGGCATCTTCCATGACAAGCCCCACAGTCCTGGACCAAACCTAAATGACAATGTAAGTGAAAAGAGATAATCACTTAATTTTACTTTGGTCCATGACATGTTTTCTACCACAATAGAGTTTTGGTGGCATGTAGAAGTCAGTACAAGTCTACAGATGGATCTGTATACTCTGTAAATTTGGCTTGGCATAATGGACTTTATTCTTGTTCTGCATTTTTCAGTGACCTGGCAGTTAAAATCAGGCATTTTTCATTTGGTCACACAAATTAAACTTTAACTGTAAACATATGCCTATAATATGCATATAATAAGAAGTACAAATGATTATTATTGCAAATTGAATATTTTAAACCTCATGGACACACAAAATTTAAGCATGACTGTACTGTACTGCATCATTACACCAAGAAACACAAATGAACAGAGATATGGTACCTTGATGGCCCTGACTGTGACTGCATGGCCTTGTCTCAGATCTCCTGTAATGATCCTGGCTACAGCCACAGTGATACCAGGTAAGAAGGAAGCCATGGTGCTGCCTATAATGCATCTCTCCTCTGAGGATGGGACTATGTGCTCCTGAGTGCAATCACATTGCAGAGTCAAAGTCTGGAGGCACTTTAACGCTGCTGCCTGTATATCTCGAGATTTCTCCTTCTCTCCTATAGCCAGCAGCAGTGATATGGCAGCTCCCAGTCCGGCCAGCATAACGGGTTCAAAGAGTTTAAAGACTATATCACCGTAAGCAGCATGAAGCAGTGCGTCCAGGCACCTCAGCACTGCTGTTTTAAGCTCCTCAGATGTATCTGCAGGCTTCCCAGGATCGGTTGGACAGCACAGGCAGAGGCAAAGCTCTGAAAGAAGGTCATGCAGGGTGTCCCATCTCTGGACACAAGTGTTCTCCAGCACGTAGCTGATGGCTTCAGCCACAGCCTGCACCAGTTTGTCCTTCTTAGGCCCGGGGACTTTAAGGACAAAGCGAAGAGGAAAGAGGACATACTCTTGGAGCTGCTGCAACGTGGCATCATTGACTTCTTTCAACTGGGCACTCAGTAACTCCACATTGGTCACAGTGGGCTCTCGGGTTAGCAGGACACAGGTCGGGCGTAGATAGGCAAATGCAATCTTAGGATCACTGATCTCAGCCATGGTCAACTTTATGAGGGGGTACAGAAAGAGAAATGGTAGATGCAGGAATAAGACAAAGAAAACTAATTAGTTTTAAAGTACCGTAGGAAGAAATTGAAGTTAACACATTCTTAGATCATTTAAAAACAATTTACTTTTTATCTTTGTAATTTAATCTGTAATGGTCACATGTTGACTGGTAACTTTTAGAGGTGATATTTAAAATCCCTGCTGCCTTCAAAATTTAGCAAACTGCATGTCAGCATTATCGGTGGTAATGGTGGTTGTGCTCACGATGATATTCTGCATTGCCTGAGACTCTGCCGTGACATTCTGTTTTTAGGTTTGTTGTGCCAACAAGTATTAAGTTAGCTACACTATGCAATGCTGTTTTGATGACTTATTATTATTACTACAATATACAATTGGTCACTTTGTTAAGTAACAGATATATAACATAAAGTATATAGTACTATAGTAGTAGTAGTTATAGCAACAATGTTCTGCATTCCAGGCAACTGGGAACTGGAAAATTTCTGACCTCCAACAAGAAAAAGTACTTTGTAACGCCACTTGAAGTGGGATTTCCTACTTGTGAACTCGGAGAAAAAAAAAATTGTACCCCCAGTAGCAGCCGAATGACGTCACACAAGAAATGCTAAATCATAAACGTAAAGTATTAAATTAAAATAATACATACTAGTATCAAATAGTAAAACTTCTTCTGCATATAAATTGATGAAGAAATATTTTGTCAATGTTATTAGGTAGCTGGCTAAAGGAAAAAATGTTCACTAACGTTACCCAAAAGTTATTCAGGAAAATGTTAAAAATTCCCAGAAATGTGAAAACATTTGGAAATATAGCCTACAACTTTTGCTGACTTTTGAGGATTACCAACTGATGTAGCTAGAAGATACGTTAACGAGTAACGTATATTTATCTTCTTTTTTTTTTTTTATAAAATGGCCATCCTTTTAATTAACACCAAGTGCACTGCTGAGGGTTTAACTGTGGATAAACTCGCCAGAGAAACACAAGTTTGTCACGGTCAGCCATGTTTATTGTTCACACTTGGTGTCATACACCACCATGCACCTGAAACGCTCTGAGTTTGAGAGTCGGATATTTCAACTTGGACATTTCCCAGTTCCGACCGCTCTGGAACGTTAATTAAGTTATCCAACGTGCTGCTGAAGCTGCACTGCGGTAAGTTACGAGCGCCAACAAACAGGTAGCCTACCTTCACATTAGTAGTGTTAAGTGGACCCACTGCGCAGAGCAATGAGCACGTACAACAGGTAAATATCAAAATAGAATAATTACAACAGAACACTGGTAATGTTACACACCCTAACTAAAGGCAACTGTCGTGATTCTGCGTCGATGTCGCACATGTTTGACGTAGGGCAAAAAAACCCACTTCCGGTTTTGGCGCTTTAGCTTCAAAATAAAAAGAGCACAAAGTTTTACTGGAAAAAGAAAACCCCCTAGAAATATTTCATAAACAATGCTTTCATCGTAGAAATGTGTCACTCTTGTCATGCCATTAAGGCATTATCGAACTGAATAGAATGTATAAGTTAGTAGTTGTTTAACTAAATCTCAATCGTTTAAATTGTTTTATTATATAAAATCGAGATTTCTTTCTTTCAAAAAAGAGTGACTTATAGTCTCATGAAAATGAATGCTCTGGTAAAAGTTCAAACAACTCTTAACTCTAGCAAGCTGCATTTCATTCAGTGTCTGAAGACATTTGTTTTATTTTGCAAGAAGATGCAACCCATATCGGAAGTCCACCTTGATAATGAATTTGGAAACCAGAGACTGTTCCAGTATATAAATTTAGCTATTTTAATTACGCATTTTATTAACATACTAACATTACATATTTTCATGGCTTTTTCCGTCGATGTAATGGATGTCAGACTGCTAGCCTAATCACGAAGGTAATGCAATGTCTAACGTTACAATTAGCAGTAAAGGTTAGCTTAAACACGGCTAACATGTTAGCTAAAACTAGCTCTGGTATAAGGTAACGCTATAGCCGGGTTAAATCTTTGGGCCACGTTAACTGAAACTCTGCCAGAGCTTTTCGAAAAAGCCTTTCGATAACATGCAGTCAGTGGACGAAGTACTTTTTATTACAGTTAAACGTTTGATCACCTTGGTCACCTTTCCTTCTGCGGTGTCCTTCCAAACTCACTCAGTATCTGGCAAGTTAATGAGTCTAATAAATAGATGGCCTCTCCACTATGAATCAATAAGGACAAGACAAACAATATTGGTGAGAAAAAGTATCTGATGAGAAAGAAGAGCATGCTTTGCAGGAGTGCATAAGGAAGTCAGTCCATTTACTCGCAGCAAAACATGTTACCATAATTATGCAGATGACACACACATTTACACATAACTAGATCACCAGCACTATCATGCCATGCAAGAGAATTGACCAAATCACCCATTGGATGTGCCAGAAGTGTTCTTCAACTAAACAAAAATAACACTTTAGTCCTTGTTTTTGGAACCAAGGAAGAACAATTAAAAGTTAGGCTTAAAAGACCTGCACTTCTACAGCATTCTATCACCTGAAGAATACATCAAGGACTTGTGTCACAGCAGGATTCGGAAAAACTTGTCTATGTATTTACCTTCAGTCAACTCGACTATTACTCTGTTTTTACAGGTCTCCCAAAAAAATCGTTCTGATTCAGTACGTTGCTGCTCGAGTCATCACTAAGAGCACACAAGTAGATCACATCACTCCAGTTCTGAGGTCTTTACACTGGCTTCCTGTCTGGCAAATAATTGATTTTAAAATAGTGCTGTTAGTTTATAAAACACTGGTTTAGGGCCAAAATACATTTCTGATCTTCTGCTATGTTTTGAACCATCTAAACATCTCAGGTCATCTGAGACAGGTCTGTTTACTGTCCCCAGAGTCAAATCTAAACATGGAGAGGAAGCATTCAGTTTTTACCACATATCTAGAACAATCCCCCAGAACCTCCCCTTATTTTTTTTTATATTTAACTCCTAAATGTATTTTTATATTTATTTTACAGTGTGTCTTAATGCATTTTATGTTTTATGTAAATCACTATCGTCTTGTTGCTGAAATTGCCATTCTACTGAGATCTGTTTTTTAATCAACCATCTTCTTTCTCCTCAGGTGTCGTGGGGGCTTGATGTGGTCCTTTCCTGTCCTGCCCTGTGCCAAGTGTCAGTATGGATGAACAAACTCTTGAGGCAGCCATCACTACCTATGGTGCCCAGTTGCAGCAGGTGGAGACAGCCCTGTCTGCTGGCCTGCACCCCTCCCAGCAGTCAGACCTGCTCAAGCTGAAAGAGGACCTTTGTCAGCTGATAGAGCTCACAGAGTCCAGCCTGATATCTGTCAGAAAGAGTCAACTTCTGGCCAGCCTCGAGGACAGTCATGGACTGCAGGCAAATACCTCAGGGGCAGCAGCTAGCATGAACAGTGCAAACGGAAGTTTGGGAGCTGAGTTTGCTGCTTTCTACTCTGAACTCGGGGAGTCTTCGGGTAGTAGTTCTGATACTAGAGAGAGGGACAATGAGGAGGAAGGTGGGGTAGAAGATGGTGACGAGGAGGAGGAGGAAGAAGAAGATACACTCAGTGGTACTAGAGTAAGAGCACCTTATCGGACAACATGGGGGACACTGGAGTATCACAATGCCATGGTTGTGGGCACAGAACCGCCAGACGGAGAAGAGGCACAAGTAAGGGTGCTCTACGTCTACCCCACCCAGAAGTCTATGAAACCCTGTCCATTCTACCTAGAGGACAAATGTCGCTTCCAGGATAATTGCAGGTAAAGTACCACTGTTTTGTTTTTTGGAGGGGGCTTACACTTACACCTGCAAAAGGTGTGTTTAGTTAACTTGTAGTTAACTCTCTACCTTCTTTGTAATAGCAGATATCATCCAGCAAGTGTCACTCATTGTCCACGTGATGCAGGTTTTATCCTCACCATAGCTTCAGAAAACTTAAAACATGCAGTAAAATGTTGTTGCCTTTGCACCTTTTTTACCTAATAATTTCATTGTCACCAAATTGATCCGCTAATTTTGAAAGAATTTCTAATTAGGGTGAGAGTGGAGAGTTATGCGTTCCACAACTGTCTAAATGCTGTTTGCGGGTTTTCACTCATTGACAAGAATAAATTACTATGGATGTGTCCTAGTATAGAATGAGCTTCAATAAGCCACATCAGTTGAATTCCTCTATTATTTACGATATAATTCTCTTGGATGGCAGTTCTGTCTACACACAATATTTCCTTTTATTGAAGGTTTTCCCACGGCGAAGTGGTGTATGTGTCAGAGCTCAGAGAATTCCTTGAGTGTGACCTCAGTAATCTTGAAGAAGGCTCGTCCTGCTTGGCTCGACATGAGGACGGCATCTGGTACCCAGCTAAAATCAAAGGTATTCCATTGACAGGGCCAAGATTAATTGAACTTAAGTCGTGTCAGCTAGTCAAAATCTGTATCTTTATCAGGTAATCTGAACACCATTGCACAATGTAACAAAAACAAGCAAGACAATGGCAGATTAAATGCTTCCAGTTATTTTTAATGTTTTCTTCTCAATGTAGAAATTGACAGTGGTTTCTACACTGTGAAGTTTGACTCACTGCTGCTAAAAGATGTTGCGGTCGAGGCCGACTGTGTTATACCGCCTTTGAGAGAAGACGACCCGCTCTCCTCTGACTCTGACCTGGATGACACTGAAGAAGAAGATGTGGCTTATGCAAAAGGTGTGGTTGGATCTGTGTTGCCATTATCCTGCCAGTCAAAACTTGAGGTTGACAGCTAAAAAAAAAATAGTGACTTCCTTCAGTTAATGACCTTTTATTCCGTTGTGTCAATAAACATTTGAATTTGTTTAAAAGTTGTGGGATGCCAATTTCCATTCCATAAGTAACTGACCGTTTCTACTTTAATTTGACAGTTATGGACTCTGCTGTGGAATCTACAGCAATGTTAAACAGTGAAAACTTTGGTGGCTGGGAGGCACATACCAGAGGCATTGGATCCAAGCTTATGCTAAAAATGGGCTATGAATATGGGAAAGGTAAGTGCAAGTGCACAACATCGCCCGCATTTTAGGTTTCTAAAGTCATGTCCTGATTAAATCAGAAATTTGTATTTTTAGTGAGTAACTACTGCACTATACTCCATACAAATGTTTCACCAGCATTTGACAAAGGCACTGTAACATATTCAGTCAGTTTTTATCTTCTTGCATACTTTGCATGGTTTCCCCGTGTTATAGCGCATTTCCCCAGGGTTTCTTCCTACCCCAAACACATGCGTGCTATATTTACAAAATCCTTCCGTCTTTGTTCTTGACCAAAGCATTCACCTCATAATTTGAGTTAGTCCTTGGGCTCTGCACAAGACAATGGGTCAAATAAGGAAGACAGATGATGCATGAAAAATCCAAATACAACTGCAATACAAGGAGTACCCACACACTAGAACTACTGTGGCCTGTACTACGAAGCGAGGTAACTGGCTTATTCAGGTAACTTCAGGAGTACCTGTGTGATGTCGGGTGGAACTTCCCGGTTAAACCGTAATACGAAGGTCTGTTGCCATGGCAATTTATGCTGCATCTCTAAACTGCTCAAAGCAGGTTATCTTTGTGGTTAACTCAAGTTACCTGGTATATGTAGACTACACACCACATCTGTACGCCTAATAAACACCACTTGATAAAATATTTTTAGATTTTATCCTGACTTAATAACTTAATAACTGTTCCAGTTATTCCTAACACAACATCATTACATTTATACAGCCCTGCAGCCTCTGTGATTTAGGGAGGAGATCTTAATTAAATTACCGGGCCAATTTCTTAGATATAGCCCATCTGTGTGTGCTTTCTTAGATTGACTATATTGCTGGCCAAAAAATACAGAGCCAGGGTTGGGGTTAATAATCTGAGAAAAAAAAATCCTAGATGAAAGTGGTAAATTTACAAGAACAAAAAATTCCCTTAAATTGAAGTCACAAAAAATCCAATTCACTCTGGTGTTTTCATTTGAATCCGCCCACTTCACGGCAAAGTCTCTATGGTGATTGTGTGCTAAAATCACTAGTATTTCCTAGGGGTGGGAATCACCAGAGGCCCCATGATACGATATTATCACGATATTTATGTTGCGATTCGATTTTATTGCGATTTTAAATATATTGAGATATATTACAATTTATTACCTTTTTCCAACTTCCAATTAGGTCCCTAAAGTCAAACTTTGTCAACATCTGTTTATCTAAAAAGATACATTTCTCTGTTTGTTCATATCACTTTTTCAGTCCTCTATATGGTCCTGTTAAGTTTTCTAGTGGACTAAAAAAGCAATAGATTTTATTGTTTTAGTACCAAGACTATAATGTCAGAGAATATTTAAAAAGGTCATATTGTGCTTTTTGGATTTCTCCCTCTACTTTATAGAGTTATATATCTTTTGTGTACATGTAACAGGTTTACAAAGTGAAAAAGCCCAAAGTCCAGCCCAAAGGGAGTTCCCATCTCCCACAGAAAGCTCTGCTCTGAACTGCCTGAAAACAGCTTGTTTGTAGTCCAGCCTTTTGTTCTGCTTTGCTGTGACGTTACAGTGAAATACGAGTCATAATGCTCACCAAGCGGCAAGTCAGACATGCCCTCAAAAACATCGGTGGAAAAACACTCTGAGCTGCAGCACACAGTAACAAGACATCCGCCTGCTGCCTCTCCTCTCCTTCCAAACACTAGCTACCCTCCAGGCAGTCAGTGGACATAAAGTTGTTCGTGTGATGTAGAGGCAGAGCTCAGTTAAAACTTTATGGATGAAAGATACTTTTGTTACAGATTAATAACTCACCACTCCGAAACTCTTGCTCTAGTTCATGTTGCTAAGCTGGTCGTCAACATGTACAGCTGAACCAAAGCTGTGTTTACCAGCTTTTCACAACCTGCCCTTCTCTGCTTCTGATTGGCTAGTAGTCCTTAACTAGATACTGTGCATGTGCAACTCCCAACAAAGATCTTGTAAAGGTGAAATGCATCACTCCATAGCTAAAATGGAGCGTTCAACACACAGAGTGAAAAGAGGAGCTGCAGCAATGTGCAGTCAGACAACAATGTGGTGTTTTTTCAAAATGAAGCCATGTAAACCTGATCTGGTACAAGCCCTAAATACAGTTATGAGCCTGAAAACGATCATAATATGACCACTTTAATTAATTGATTTGTAAATTTGTGGTTATTCTTTCTTGTAAATGAACCATATTAATCTTGGAAATTCTGATTCTCTCCCGGCTCCATTTTTTAAATTACAATGGACATAATATGCAGTTGTACCTTTCATCTTAATCACACGTAAAAGAAGAGTCCATAAAATACAAAATAGAGAATTAGCCTAGAATAAGAACAATGTGAAAGACTGCACTTCTCAGGACCGGCAAAGTAAGGCAAAGTATCCCTTTAAGTTAACACCGAATCAACTAACCATCATCTTATTCATCATAGTCATAGTACCGTTTAACACCAGTGTAGGTCAGGGTTGACAAACTCCTTGATAACCCTGAGTTAAAGATGAGTAGGTTAAACTCCCTGTTACATCGCTGAATGTTTCAAAATACAGGAGAGTGGTTTCAAACATTTTTTCAGATTACCGTACAAATTAAATCACTCTACTGTGTATAATTCCAATACATTCACTATATTCTAGGGCTGACCCTGCATAGTCGAAGATTTGATGCTTTGCTGGGCGGAGCCTGATTCGACTGTCAATCTTGCAGTCGAAGCTTCGCAGCAAAACAAGGATCATGTCATTTTGGTGATATGGGGGTGCTGGATGTCTGATTTTACATAAAAGTACCGGTTTTCTCCCAATAAGTTAATATACAGCCTATTACAATCTACATTTCAACGTTTAATGCTGTAAATAAACATGTAAAAAAAAATAACAGTGCGCACAAATAAGTGCGTAAATAAATCCAAAATTGTAACCCTAACCCTGGGTCGTCAGTGTAGGCATAGCGTGTATGTGTGTAGTGGCCATAGACTGTACATAAAAAGGGTTAGTGGCAGAAGAGACGGAGGATAATTTATTTCCGCTGATGAACCACAAAAAGAATATTTTATCGTTTTTAACAGCCAGCTACTTGAAGTAGACCCACGAGGAACCGCGGCATGCATGCAGTTGTCGGCACCAGGCATGCACGCTAAACTTGACGATTCTGATTCGACTATGTAAATCCTTAGTCGGGGACAGCCTTACTATATTCTATTATCTAATCTATTATATATATTATATTGGGGCAAGATACTGAACCCCGATTTGCCCCTGTTGGCTGTTCCGCCAGTGTATGAATGAGTGTGAATGTTAGTTTCCGTTTGAGCACTTAGGCTCAGTGTATGAATGTGTATTGGTGAATGCAGATGTAGTGTAAAAGCGCTTTGAGTGGTTGAAAAGACTAGAAAGGCGCTATACAAGTACGGAGCATTTACATTTGCTTTTATTCACTATAGTACAGTACTGTATATAAAATATAGCTAACTGCTGTTTAAATTATAATCAGCCTATAGCCTAAAACAGTACTGTACTGTTTACAAATACAGTAACGTCAATAGTGCAAATGAAGGTTATAATTTTTAAATTTAAAACTGTCCTGAAAATAAACTATCAATGCCAAACTGGTAGCTGAAGTTTGAAAATAAAAAACCAATACTATAATCAAATCATTTGAACAGCATTTGTATAGGAATTATTCTGTCCTAAGCTTTTTTGATCACGTAAGTGATTTCCACTGTATAAGAAAATGACCAATGATGACAATCATCTAATTACACTCATATATGCCAGGGCATAGACCATGTATTTGAAAAATGCTCTGTATTTGTATAGCACCCTACATCTGCATTCACCTGTTGATGGCAGAAAGACTAAGCCAACTGCACATCACAAAGAAAATAGTATTCATATCCAAGGACACTTAGACATGCAGCCTGGGGAAACCGGGGATAACCACTGCACAAGTATAACCTAACTCTAGCTTTAAAATGTATGTTTAAATCTAGTGGTTTTGCTTTTTTGCGCTTTCCCTTTGCCCCTCCCCTGTAGTATGTACATGTTTCTTCACCCAGCCAACTATTTTGGGGCACGTTCATACCAAATGTTTGTAGTAGTTTATACACACTGTTTCTTTCATACCAACTACAGGATAAGATCCCAGAATATAAAGTTTTAAGGGCCAAATGGTATAAACATTATGTGCTGATTTAAAGTTCTCTTTGCAAGCTGACCATAACAGTACAGAACAAGGAGAATTGCTGTTTGATAAAACACAGAGTTCATGAAGTACAACAAATCATGCAGACATGAACCACATGCTTATGTAACATTACAGAGGCTGGATCATTTTTTTTAGGGTTTTGCTTGCAAATTTGAATATATGTGGCCTAAAAATACACTTATTTGGATAAAAGTATGTTGGTAATATGTAGGTAATCTCATTGCACTTCATATTCAGGGTAACTGTGATTCTGATTAAATAAGATAACTCATTTACATATAGAGATGTGTTAGATGTGTTAAATAATAGAATGCATTTAAAATGTTACCAGTATTTGTACTTTTCCTTTTTATGTACAAAAAAAATTTAAATTTAAAATGTGTTCCTCTTCCTCACTCAGTCGCTTGTTTTTCTCAGGCTTAGGAAAGCTGCAGGAAGGCCGAGTAGAGCCAGTCATGGCAGTGGTCCTACCCAAAGGTAAGTCTCTAGGCCAGTGTGCTGAGTTCACCCAGAGACGCACCCAGAGCAGTGCCGCCCAAGATGAGACACAAACGGGACGGCCAAAGAGACGAAGAAAGCCTCGGGTCGCCACTGGAGGTCGCCATACCGTCTTTGACTTTCTCAACCACAAGCTAGGAGGCAAGAGCACTGATCCTGCTGAGAGGGGTGCTGCTGCACCATCTGCAGGGACTGGGGTGGAGGCTTACAGGGGAGGAAAAAGCACCAAGAGGAGTCTGAATGTGAAGCTGTTCCAGGCTGCTGAGAGGGTGTCCCAGACTGAGAGGGAGATCCAGAAATTGACTGAATCACTCAGCAGACAAACAGGAAGGTCAGTACTGAGTTCTGTGTATGTTGTTTATTTACTGTACATTTCTGTATGTATGTTCTAATCTGACTGACCGATTGGACGTCAGCTCCCTGTCTCCCCATAGATGCTCAGTGGCTCTTATCTTCTCCATGGAGAGTAGGGGTGTGCCAAAAATCGATACAGCAATATATCGTAATACATTTTTCCATGATACTGTATCGAGATTCCAGCTCATCATATCGATACATTTAAAAAAAGCGTTTGAAGGTTAGCTCAATGCTAACATATAATTAACGTGCTAACAGACATTAGCATCGTGATCATATAATCTTAACGTAAACTGCACCTCCTGAGTAACATCCTGAGTAGGGATGGGGATTGAGGCCCGGTTCCAAAAGGACCCGGTTCCAAAATTTCTCAAAAACCGAAAATCAGTAAGGTTCGAGCTTATCGATACTGCTATCGAGACTTGCAGGCTGCAGTCTCTGCCTGCTCTCTATCGGCTCCTACATACACACACACACGGCAGCAGAGCGAGAGGCTGCGCTGTCGCAGTCGAATATGGTGAGGGTTAAGTTAGCTCCAAGCTACTGTAACATTAGTTGATGACAGCTACGCTCGTTACTGTAAGTACGTGCAAAACCTATTATTATATTATCATAAGCCGTGTATCTTGAGGTACCCTGCAATCCCACTCCTACTGGAGAGTATAGACACATTAGCATAAACGTAACATGTTCATAAATACACTGCTTACACAAATATGATTTATTGTAAAGTATGAGCACATCATTTACTAACATTAGTTGCTATAATGCTCCTGTCGAGCAAAGTGGTAATTAATTTAAATTCACAAATAAGGGTGGCTGTGGCTCAGGAGATAGAGCGGGTTGCCTGTTAATCGAAAGGTCGAGAGTTCAATCCCTGGTTCCTCCTGGCTGCATTTTGGGCAAGATACTGAACCCCGAAGTGCCCCTGGCGGCTGTTCCACCAGTGTATGAATGTTAGTTTCTGTTTGAGCACTTAGGCTCAGTGTATGAATGTGTGTTAATGGTGAATGCAGCAGTACTGTGGTCGGAAAGACTAGAAAGGCGCTATATATATATATATATATATATATATATATATATATATATATATATATATATATATATATATAAGTACGGAGCAAATGAGAAGGCTTGTGGGAGTTGTGTAAAAATGTAAATAAGTTGTGAAGAATTGAGTTTGATTGGCCAATTTATTTTATTAAGTGAAGCTGAAACCAACTCCCCATCTCTCCCCACTTCCTAATCTATTTGTTGTTTGTGTGTGCAAAGGGACACATCCAGAGTAAAGCAGCTGGAAGAGAAGCTGTCAGCAGCCCACCGGCTGCTGGCCCAGCAGAAAGCCCAGGAGCTGTCCATCCAGAGAGAAAACAAGAAGGCTGACACACACAAGAAGATGACTGAGTTCTAAGCTCAGTTCTCACAAAGACTTTGAGGAGAAAGGGAAGCACTGCTTGCCTGAATTGAACTTTTGTCCCTTGCCTATTGTGAGTTATTTGCAACACTGTTTTTTATGTGATTTTTTTTAGCATCATTTTTCACCAACTTTATTTGAGCTGGCAGTGGTGCCCACTTTCTGCAAAATGGATCATTTGCTGAAGATCATTTCTGATTCTCATTTTGTTTTCAAGAAGTGAGCAATTTATTTTGTGTGAACATCTGTTTGGTTTCAAATTGTACAATTTTACAAAATTTTATTTGTAATGTACATTTTCTCTCAGTGTATTTGCCTTTATCAGCACTAAAACCCTGTGTTTGTAGAACCTACTGTGCATTTTCTTTTCTTTTCAGCCATACACATTCTACACAACTAAACTCCAGTGTAAAGAACTGTTTCTCTACCACAGAATTCTTAATGTGTTCTTTATTATACTTTTCTGGAAGATGTTTCTGGCCAGATGCTACTCAGATGGTTAGTACAGTATACCCTGACTTGGATTTCTGACTGATTTTAAAATTACATCCTCAGGAGTCGGGAGACCTTTACAGAGTTTCGAAGTGAAGCCCCTCCATTTGCCCATACTTCTTACAGGCTCATACACAGTGTCTTTGAAGCTATGACCATAGCCTCTCCATTAAATTATGAATTTGGAAAGTACCTCCAGCCAGCTCGTAGGTTGGACACACATTGTAGGTGGTGGGTGGGCTGGGTAGTGATGGCGTCTAACCTTTAGACTCAAGTAAAGGTTGAAGTCGTGATGTTAGGTAGCTGTAGATGAGGTCTTAAACCTTCTTTGTTAGCCTTCTATGAGCTATTTCTAATCTGAATGTCATACAGTATAATAACAGGGGAAAAATAAAAGAACACAAAACTACTGTGTTTGCTGTCTGTGTTAACTTTGTTAATAAATGCTTTCCAAAACAATCAGGCCAGCTGAAATATGCTGCAGTTTAGTATGAACCAGAGTCCATGAAAGACAGCTAAAAAACTGGTGACCATCAGCAAGTCACTGCCATCGTGTTGTCCCTAAGGGGAAAGCAATAGTAAATACGTAATTGTAAGAGCAGCAGGGACATACAGTGCACTTCATAAGCCATCCATGAATTCTCTGGATAGTCTCTGGCAGAGGGCAGAACTTATGAACCCTTGACTTGGTACCCTGAGGGAAACCCTGCTCACACTCTGATCTGTTCAGTGGCAGCACTTTTAGATTGCTGGTGACTGGAAGGATCACAGTGAATTTGCTGATTGTTAGGGGGAAATGGCAAAATGCTGTGTTTGTGTTGATTTAATGGGATCCCTCGAGGGTCTGTGCTTCATGCTTTACCCCATTTATAAGCCTCGGGTCTCTGAGGGTATCGCTGCCCAGGCAGCAGCAGATTTACTGTGTGTGTTCAGGTCTAGGTGTTTTGTCTACATTTTTTACTGTTAGTTTGTCTGTGTGCACTGCAGACATCTGTCTCATGCAGATTCAGACAGGCCTATTAGAGATGTTTTCGCAGCTAATCAGCTCTTATCAGAGCCTGGATTATGTGATTAAAGAGATGGGATGGGAAAATTGATTGGACAGCCACCATGACAGATGTTTTGCTTAGAAATTCATGCTATGGTATTCAATGAATGAGTCTATGAATGTGTAGAGTAGGTTGAGCTTTCTAATGTTATGCTACCTGGCTGTGGTAAAATTTGTATTTGTACTATATAATTTTTGTATCTGTTTTAAAACCACCATGACAAATTCTATTTCATCTGAATATTGCAAGTTTACAGTCGTATATTGTGTAGTGGTTTCAAAAAGTTGTAAACTTCTTCACCCTATTTCTTGTTCTGTTGCAGCTAAGAAGATATAACAACTCAGCTGATTTCATCCATTTGTAGCCAGCCACACTGGCAGCATGACTAGGGATGGCAACGTCGGACGGTTAGTTGGTACACTTCTTTGGTTCAGACTGAAATGTCTAATGAGCAACTGCCATGAAATTTTGTAGTAAACTTCCTGGTTTCCAGAAGATGAAGCCTAATCACATTGGTGATCCCCGGACTTTACCTTTACCGTCACCAACTGGTGAAAGTTTTCACCTATCCTGTGAAATATTTTAGAATCTACCAGATGGATTGACAAAAATGTCGTACAGACGTACCTTCCTGATGAAGTTTAATAATGACCTTTGTAATCCCCTAGCTTTCACTCTAGTGCCACTATGAGGTTATTATTGTTGACACATTCATGCCCCCCTCTGGATGAATTATAAAAACTTTGATAATCCCTTACTTTTTCCTCATCAGGTCAGAATTTCCATTTCTCCAATATTTTGGTTTAAATACCTGCAAAACTAATGACATTCCCAAAGGCAGAAAATCTCCCCAAAATTAAATTAATGTGACTTTTATGTAAAAACATCAGATTGTTCAGGTCATCATTATTTGCTCAGTGTTCCACCTTTTCCCCTCAGTGGTGTTCACCAACTAACAGAGATTGGAAAAGTGCCTATAGAGCCCCGCCAAAGGCTGCAGGCCTCTGCACCTGCCATGGCTGATTGTTATGCCCCAAAGCTGGTTTCAAACCCCCAGCAGACACTCCAAGTTGAATTCTTTATTTTTTTCTTCTGTCTGTTTTCTCCAGTTGCACACAGCAGTTTGTGCTCATGCAGTGGACCATTTATAAAATGTTTTCATGTATGTATAGTTGGTTTTGTTTTGGATCTTGGTTGCAGATACTGCTCTCTCTTAAAAATGCTGGCTTGACATATACTGGCTTTCAAATTGTGAGTTTTGGTAAATATATGAAAATTAATTTTTTTTTAATTAAAATTGTAGCCAGTAAGATTCACCAGCCACTTTGGTAGATGAACAAGATGCAAAGACAGCAGTTCAGCCACATTGGGGCGTGGTTAGCTCAGTTGGTAGAGTGCATGCCTCACGCACAAGGCTGAGACCTTACTGCAGTGGCCCAGGTTCGAATCCAGCCTGTGGCCTTTTCATGCGTGTCGCCCCAATCTTGCTCCCACTTTCTGTCTATCTGCTGTCCTATCTAATAAAGGCAGAAAATGCCCCCTCCCCCCACCCCCAAAAAGCAAGTCACATCTTAGCCCTTGCTGTAATTTAACACCAAAACCATCAACTGGTCTTTTCAAAGACACCCCACCCGCTTCATGGCCCAGGCTTCAGAGGCAGCTGTAAAAAAAAAACAAAAAACAAAACCCAACGAAGGTTAAAGTCAAGGGCAACTGGACTTGGTTGAAGATACTGGAAGACGTCCAGTATCTTCCAGTATCCTCGTCTTCCAGTATCTTCAACCAAGTCCAGTTGCCCTTGACTTTAACCTTCGTTGGATAACTAACTGACCTGGATGACTGAGAATCTTCATAGAAAAAAAACAAAACATCTAACAGCAGGATGAGAGGCTAGTACAACACTGTCCCCCTTCAAAATTTATTCCCAAACATAATGAGCCCAAAGCTCCGTGTGGTGTCGGGACATGTTCACACGTGTTTTGAACTACGCTGTTGTTGGCAAAAGGAGAGATGGGCAGTTCTTTCATTGCAGGGGTTGTTTCTCATCCATTGTGTTTGTAAAACTTCAGAAGCCACACACGGGAGGTATTAAGCTTGACTGAGTGAGAGCAAAAGTGAGGAGGGAGGCTGCGCAGTGTGTGCACGAGCAGTGATTGACACTGCGTTAGATCCTGCCCCTAGCTCTGATTGGTTGTTTTGACCTGGAGCACCAGATTCTGGCAAATGGCATTAGGAACACTAGGAAGAGGCAGATGAACCAGATTTTTTTCACAGATTATCTGTTTACAGTTACTTTATTTCCATGTCTTGTGTATGGATCATCAACTAGGTCCTGTTTGCTTTAGCATCCTATTTAAAGATGAGTCAGCTGGAAAGATCAAAAAGTCAGCTGAAGACAGAGTTTTCAACCAACTCATTGAGTTTTTCTATTATCATTAGCTTACGCTACTGTACAGCTGTTAAAATCAGCTAGCGATATCTTCTCAGCCAACAAAACATGGTTGTTAAAATACACACACACATAAATGTATATATATATATATAAATGCCTACATATACATATACAGGGAATGAAATTGGCATATGCCACCTTCCATATACAGGGGAAAAAAGTCACCTGCCCCCATGGCAGGTTTCTTTTATATAAGCAAATTATATTTTTTTAAAGCAAGGAAACGACAGACCTAATGAGTGTAGAAATGTTTAGTGACCTCCCACAGGTGAGGAAAAAACTGAATTTCTGAACCTGCATATGCATACATTATGTATTATTATCCCAAATAGTGAATGCATTTGTATACATGTATACAGTGCTTTAAAACATTTTATGTAATTTACATGTATACAGTACATACACACATATACCTACATTCGCACATACTGTATATACACACACATAAAAATTCATACATACGAAATCTTGCCTCTGATTGGTGCTTGCTCGGTTAATTGGCCAGGTTTTTTGAGATCAAGCAATCAATTTTTAATTTAGCATGAATTGCTGGAGTTCTTAATAGTTCCTGTTTCATGCTAAATTGTAATGATCATAAAGAATTTACTTAATGTTGTAGTTATCAATATGACTCAAGTAGCAGCCCTCACAGTTAACTTTCTACTAGGGTTGGCCTGATAGATGGTGCCATTGTCCTTTGGCGATGGCTGACAGACATCACAATGTTGAGTCAGAATCTTGATTGTACCCCCGCCCGCAACAAACATTATTATTATTTTTTTTTTTTAAATATACCTGCTCCCTTGGACCTACCCTAGGGCTGGGTGGCAGTGCTCGAGGGGCTCTTGCTACTGGCCCTGGGTTGGAGGGACCTGGTTTCCTCTTGCCTTAGGGGGCAGGCGACTTGGCTGAATGCTGGGGCCAGACAGGAACTTGGCCCCAGTGGGGAGGACCATTCTTGCTTAACCTCCCAAGGACCTCTTCCACCTTCCCCCTCCGGTTATGTCTCACAACATGCACCCTTAGGACTTTTGGGGGAGAACAGACTGCGAGGCGTTTGGTGGGCGGGGCTGCTTTATTGCGGCCTCACCCTCTTTCCTCCCCCACTGGCTGCCCCTCAATTTTAATCACATATTAGGCACATTGCTTGGGGGCTGGAAGGGGAACGTTGGGAGGCTCCACTCTTTTTAAAGTATAATATGTCTGGCACAACCAGCTCCTCATACTGTATACCAGGCTACTGGGCAGGACAGGTTAAATAAATATATACCTGCTTTTCACCTGTCTCGGACTTCTCTTCTCCCTACACTCTCACACACACACACACACAACTACACCTCTGGTCTCTCACTGCCAACACACCGGCTTGTCTCGCTTTCCTCTGTCGTTCTCTCTCTCTGCTCCCTTGACTTTCTCCATCAGTAATGTGTTTTATAAAGTCAACCAAAAAAGAACTCGCCTTTTTTGCTGAGTTTTCCACCACAAGTTTTTTATAAACACAATTTTTTTTATAAGAGACCGGAGATACAAGGCGTGTCCAAGCAACAAGTGGGCCTCTGGACCACCGTGTGTGAGCAGATTGCCTACCTGGCCGTCCGCAATTCCCGTGGCTTAGTCTGGTGACTTACAAGCTTTTTTAACTCAGACAGAGCTAAGATTGCCAATGTTATTTCCAATCTGTCCAGACGAGCTGAGGCGTAGGCCACAGCGGAATGGTGGTGAGACTCACCCCTATGCCATATGCCACTCCTTTCAGCTTTTCCGAGCCTTCACCCAGTTATTCCAGCATATTTCTCCAGGCAGAGAAGTGGCCAGAGCATTGTTGGGGCTCCGCAAAGGCCCAGCAAAGAGTCGCAGACTGCGTGGCATTCCGCTCCCTGGCCATGGAGAGTGGCTGGACTCAGTCTTT